GCAGTCAGGGGTGTGGACATAAAAAAGACTCTTCCCCAAAATGCTACATTCTAAGATATCACAAAAGAGGTAACTGGACTAGGAAAGGAAGAGAACATGAGATTTACCTTCTACTATTTTTTTCCGTAACAATGTCAGAAAGACATACAACTGCACACAAAGGGATAGTCCCTGAACTTGAAGAAATGAGAAATCAAGAACAGTCCAAAGTAACCTAACACTGGTAGAAGTATGCTAAGACACAGATGAACTACCACAAGATCGGTCAGAATTCAAATCCCACCAGACACATGGGCTGAAACCTAGCACAGACAGCTAACCTAATGCTACCTGACTCTAAAGGAGGGGCTATTTTAGGGCAAAAGCCTAAAATGGCTAGGTCCTAAAAACCAAAAAAATAGAAAATGTGGCTGAGCAGAATGTTTACATGTCTCCAAGGGTAAGAGCAACTCTTGAACAGAAAAACCTGACCCAACCTGACCTTGAGGAGAGGTTACTGGGTACATGGTGACATTGTGAAGCCACTGAACAATGAGATGGCCCAACCCAGTATTTCCCAGTAGCAGGCTAAATCAGGTCTTCAAGAAGACAAGGAAGAAGAGGTCACCCAAGCTGTACCAAAAATAATAATAATAATAATAATAATAATACTAAAACAAATAAAGCCTGGGGAAAAGAGCATGAAGAGTGATGTTCTAAAAGAAAACAAAAAGGAAAGACAGAAAAAAGCAAAGTTGTTAGGAGAACCCACACAGCCCTGTTAACTGAAAGAGGGTGCCTTGAACTGGAGGAGAGGAAAAAGCTGATTTACAAACATCCACAGACCCAGGGATGCAACAGTACAACTGTACTGGACTCAAGGAAAGCCTAACTCAGACCACTAACTCCAGCATTCCTCTAGCTAGGCTGTCACTTTTCCTTCCATGGTCCAAACACCAAGCACCCTGCTTCGCAGAGAAGACAAGCCAGTCAGTGGCCAGAAAAAGGGCCTGGAAGAAAGGCCCAGAAGAACTACCATCAGAAGTGAGTGACTGTCCTGGGTATACGTCAACATACACAGCAGATTTACCTCTGGGTTTTTACATGGCTCACTAATACTAACCCTAAAAATACACAAAATCACCAAGCTGATTACAGACAGGATAAAAACAACTTATGCTTGAATTGTCCTCCCCACCCCCACCCCACCCCCAAAAAAAAAAACCGGAAAATGAGGTCAAAAGCTCTACTTTCTGGCAATGGGTATTATGCCCAATGTACAGCTAAGGCAAAGCCAGCAGATAAAGCCCAGTGCCCACCAAACTTCCAGGCAAGCCTTCTGGTACTCAAGAGAACAAGGTGGAGGCAGCCTCCTAGCCAGAAAAGAGCTTAAAGGCCCAAATTCGCAGAGCCCATACAGCTTGCTGGGGAGAGCGAGTCTTCACACTAAGCCTGTCAAAAAGTAAGACTTCCTTGCTGAGTGACAGCAGTGAGGGAAGCAGCACCGCGGAAACCAGGCAGGCAAAGCACCTGACTAGCGAGAGAGTAGACAGGGTTCTTACTCCTTCCTGGCCCTAGAGAAAACTTGAAGCATGAGTCTCCCACCCTTGCAAGAAGCAGCAAGGGCCTTTCCAAGGGTAGCTTTTCCTAAGGTCATAAATGCTCTCATTTATGTGATGGCCAAAATACAACAGAGATGTATTTACAGGAGATCCACTCATTCCTGTCACAGAGAACTTCTCACTCATCTCTTATCGTCTGCCCACAACTGCAGTCCCACACTGAAGTAAAGAATTTCTTTCCTATACTGCTATAAAGAAATCAAGAACTTTTCACTTTATACGGAATCAATCAGACTCCTCTAAATTCAGAATGCCTGAGTTTAGGTGCTTACTGGCAAGCAGTCTACACTGCAAATATTCAGGGACATGGTGAGCATTCAGGATGTCATTCTGCTTGTTCAGTACAGCATAAATGACAAACGAATTGGCCATTTATCAGTGAGTCTTACGATTCTTCTAAGCACGAAGAGTTACCAACAATAGTTACATCTATGCGCTGTAAGAGTCCCCACACACCCAAAGTGCACAGCTAGTCTTCTAACTTGCTCTACATATGTGAGGGTTGCTTCTTCATCCATACACATAATACACCTATCTGTGGGTATGTGTCAACAGATGCATGCAGAGTGCCATGATGATCTCTAGTTTGCCAAAAAACAACCAGAACAGCAAAAAATAGAAAGCATTCAAATTTCTCCTTTGCCTGAAAGGTACAAGATCCAAAGAAATGTTTGGATCCCACAGAGACAACACCAGGGCCAAAGGAAGGTTCTAGTACAACAAGGAGCACACAAGCTACCTCTTCCCGAATGGCATGTGGGCGACATGGGTGTCTACACTCCCTATTCTGGATGGAAAAGCATATGGCTTCTCCTTACCCAGCCAACATGAACACAATTTGAGAAAATTAGAAAAAGTCAAGGTAACAGGCTCACTAAATATGGCTGACTAGGAAACAGAAGCCATAAGGAGGGCATGAGTCCTCTCAAAAAAGAACTGGGAAGTTTATTTTCAGGGGCGTTTCAAAGCCTCTTGAGTGTGGGACACAGAGCCTGGTTCTTAGTGTGCATAGAAAAAAAAACAAGAGTCAAGGGCACATGACCCTTTTCCCAGTGGGGTATTTGTCCACTGGTGAAGGCTAGCCCCCCAAAGATGCAAGAGTCAACAGGAAGCAAAATTACACCCATCTTTTCCACCATGAGAGCAATGATTGTGGCCCCTCCTTGCCCAAGTAGTAGGCACAATGGAAGCCCTGCCCTACATCTTCGTGGGGCTCCCACCCTCCCGACAGGGAACTCCAAGGAGAGGGAGTACCTCAGCATTGACCAGAAACTAGGGAAAGGAGCTCAGGAACGTCTAGTTTTCCCCTATTAGCAAAAGAGGGCAACTCAAAGGGTATTCAGGAAATGAGCTCACCCTAACCCAGGAAAGTGTGCAGAGAGTGTACATAATCTGGAAGAAGTGTCTGCTTTCCCATTTAGAAATGACTTCAGAGCTGCACAGGCCCCCACGATCCACTGGGTGAGGAAAAAAGAACATGGGGAGCCCGAGTCCCCTTGTCCTGGCAAAAAGGGTCAACAGACGAGAGTGCAGAGGGCCCAAAAGATGTCATGCCAGGGGACAGACTCAGACGGACCCCTGTGCCAAGCGAGAATAGGGGTCACGGAAGGTAAAGGGCAAGAGAGTGTGGAGATCCTCACTTACCACGGAAACCGAGACCCCACCCTCCCGGCCGCGAGGGTGCAAGGGCAAGAGTAGGATGTGCACGGCGGCGAGGGGCGGGGACGCTGCGCAGGCCCCCTCCCTCCCCGGAGCTGAGGGGAAAGGACCACACGAGGCCCGCGGCCGAGACGCACCGGCAGGAAGGGTCTCCCCGGCTTGGCCCGCTTCGGG